CCGATGCCACAGTAACTGGTTTTACAACAGAGGATACAACCGATGCCACAGTAACTGGTTTTACAACAGATGATACAACCAATGCTACAGTTACTGGTTTTACAACAGAGGATACAACCGATGCTACAGTAACTGGTTTTACAACAGAGGATACAACAGATGCTACAGTTACTGGTTTTACAACAGATGATACATCCGATGCTACAGTTACTGGTTTCACAACAGAGGATACAACCGACAGTAACTGGTTTTACAACAGAGGATACAACCGATGCTACAGTTACTGGTTTTAACATACAACCGATGCTACAACAGAGGATACCGATGCTACAGTTACTGGTTTTATAACAGAGGATACAACCGATGCTACAGTTACTGGTTTTATAACAGAGGATACAACCGATGCTACAGTTACTGGTTTTATAACAGAGGATACAACCGATGCTACAGTTACTGGTTTTATAACAGAGGATACAACCGATGCTACAGTTACTGGTTTCACAACAGATGATACAACCGATGCTACAGTTACTGGTTTCACAATAGACGATACAACCGATGCTACAGTTACTGGTTTCACAACAGATGATACAACCGATGCTACAGTTACTGGTTTCACAACAGAGGATACAACCGTTGCTACAGTAACTGGTTTTACAACAGAGGATACAATCGATGCTACAGTTACTGGTTTCACAACAGATGATACAACCAATGCTACAGTTACTGGTTTTACAACAGAGGATACAACCGATGCTACAGTTACTGGTTTTACAACAGAGGATACAACCGATGCCACAGTAACTGGTTTTACAACAGATGATACAACCGATGCTACAGTAACTGGTTTTACAACAGAGGATACAACCGATGCTACAGTAACTGGTTTTACAACAGATGATACAACCGATGCTACAGTTACTGGTTTTACAACAGAGGATACAACCGATGCCACAGTAACTGGTTTTACAACAGAGGATACAACCGATGCTACAGTAACTGGTTTTACAACAGATGATACAACCGATGCTACAGTAACTGGTTTTACAACAGAGGATACAACAGATGCTACAGTTACTGGTTTTTACAGATGATAACCGATGCTACAGTTACTGGTTTACAACAGAGGATACAACCGAACAGTAACTGGTTTACAACAGAGGATACAACCGATGCTACAGTAACTGGTTTTACAACAGATGATACAACCGATGCTACAGTTACTGGTTTTACAACAGATGATACAACCGATGCTACAGTAACTGGTTTTACAACAGAGGATACAACAGATGCTACAGTTACTGGTTTTACAACAGATGATACAACCGATGCTACAGTTACTGGTTTCACAACAGAGGATACAATCGATGCTACAGTTACTGGTTTCACAACAGATGATACAACCAATGCTACAGTTACTGGTTTTACAGCAGAGGATACAACCGATGCTACAGTAACTGGTTTTACAACAGAGGATACAACCGATGCCACAGTAACTGGTTTTACAACAGATGATACAACCGATGCTGCAGTAACTGGTTTTACAACAGAGGATACAACCGATGCTACAGTAACTGGTTTTACAACAGATGATACAACCGATGCAACAACAGATACAACCGATGCCACAGTAACTGGTTTTACAACAGAGGATACAACCGATGCTACAGTAACTGGTTTTACAACAGATGATGCAACCGATGCTACAGTAACTGGTTTTACAACAGAGGATACAACAGATGCTACAATTACTGGTTTTACAACAGATGATACAACTGATGCCACAGTAACTGGTTTTACAACAGATGATACAACCGATGCCACAGTAACTGGTTTTACAACAGATGATACAACCGATGCTACAGTTACTGGTTTTACAACACACCGATGCCACAGTAACTGGTTTTACAACAGAGGATACAACCGATGCTACAGTTACTGGTTTTACAACAGATGATACAACCGATGTTACAGTAACTGGTTTTACAACAAATGATACAACCGATGCCACAGTAACTGGTTTTACAACAGAGGATACAACCGATGCTACAGTTACTGGTTTTACAACCGATGACAGTAACTGGCAACCAACCGATGCCACAGTAACTGGTTTTACAACAGAGGATACAACCGATGCCACAGTAACTGGTTTTACAACAGAGGATACAACCGATGCCACAGTAACTGGTTTTACAACAGAGGATACAGCCGATGGTAACTGGTTTTGCAACAGAGGATGTAACTGATGCCACAGTAACTGGTTTTACAACAGATGATACAACCGATGCTACAGTTACTGGTTTCACAACAGAGGATATAACAAATGCTACAGTTACTGGTTTCACAACAGATGATACAACCGTTGCAACAGTTACTAGGTCTACAACAGATAATATAACTGTTACCACAATAACTGGCTTTACATCTGATTCTACAATAACGGATTCCATAACTGAAACTACGACAACTGACATTACAACAGTTGATGGTACAACAGCTGACGCAACAAACATTGATGTTACAACTGATGCCATCACCGCTGATACTACAACGGATGTTGTAACAGCTGATGCCACCACCATCGAAACCACAACTACTGATGCTACTACAATTGATGCTACAACCGCTGATACTACAATAGATGATGTCACAACTGTTGAAGCTACAACTGCTGATGCTACTACAGTTGACGCTACAACTGTTGAAACTACAACAGGTGATACTACAGCAACTGTTTCTACAACATCTTCATAAAGAATGGCTATCTTAATGTTTCTTTCGGTGTCTGAATCAGTTCTCTTTATAAACTGGAGTAGTATTCTAATAAGTAAACAACTCGCACGTACGTGTGAATATAGATTACATTTTTATGCATATATGTTCACTGAAATATAGAAATATAACCATACACGATAACCTAGTTCTGTTTCAATATCTGTATATGATACGATGTCAGTATGATATCTCATGCTTAACATTTTTTCTCGTGCAGAAAATATAAATTTAAGTTGAAAACGAGTTTTACTTATGCAGTACACTAGGTGATTACTTATCAACCAACACGTACTTTTCCCTTTAGTTGTTCACCGATTAATAACTAATGAGTACACAAGGCATTGTATCTGGCGAAAAAATAGGAATGACTGCAACTATTTCATCTTTAAAAAATGCCAACAATGATCAAACTCTAAAACTTTTTGTCTATATAATTCGCATTAAAGGACTAAAACGGAGTCTAACCATCAAGCGTTATTACATCTACTTTTTCATGGATGATATCATTTCCTAATTGGGAATTTTTAGAATCTGCTTAGGATTTTTTTTATTATAACAGCAGTTGGTGTCAGCTACTGCTATTATTAACACTTCCTTTAGGTCTAAACCTTAATATCCATTACTGGATACTGTGGCCCAACAAGTTCTCTGCTAGAATTGTACTTTTCTGCAGCCAGGCCTCAAAAGAGGTGAACAATGTAATCCTTCGTACTGCTGTAATATCTTTTCATTCTGTATCCAATAATTCCAAGATCTTTTTATAAGGCAAACATTGTGTAATAAGTCTCCTTCATTTTCATTTATCACTATCGATAAAAGATCGATCGATGATCTTACCCACACAGCTTTAGTACTGAAAAATGGGCGTGTTGAAGAGGAAAACGAATTACTTCAAAACGTATATATTTCTTAAGTTTCAATCGAAAGGCATAAAATACCTCTCTAGCGCTGAAAAGTTTTTCTTTGTCATTTACGCATGATTTTTACAGGCTAATCATTACGTCAAATTCAGGGTGGAATTATTATAAGCTACATTAATAAAGCATTTTGTTGGGTATGACCGCAGATTGAAAGCCATTTTTTATCTTTTCTGTCTCTTCTCGTTCGTGCATGTCTATTCCTCTTTCCACTCCGCAACTGTAATTGTTCACATCACATATAAATGACAATATATTCTAATGACTATCAGCTGGTTTAGTAATTGTTATTACAACAGATGATACAACTGACCCTACAGTTACTTGTTTTCCAACAGATAATACAACCGATGCTTCAGTTACAGATTTTACAACAGAGGATACAACCGATGCTACCTTTACTGGTTTTACAACAGAGGATACAACCGATGCTACAGTTACTGGTTTTACAACAGAGGAGACAACCGATGCTACAATTATTGGGTTTACAACAGATGCTACAACCGATGCTATAGTTACTGGTTTTACAACAGAGGATACAACTGATACTGCAGTTACTGGTTTTACGACAGATGATACAACCGATGCCACAGTAACTGGTTTTGCAACAGAGGATACAACCGATGCTACAGTTACTGGTTTTACAACAGATGATACAACCGATGCCACAGTAACTGGTTTTATAACAGAGATATGCCACACTGGTTTTACAACAGAGGATACAACCGATGCCACAGTAACTGGTTTTACAACAGATGATACAACCGATGCTACAGTAACTGGTTTTTATAACAGAGGATACAACCGATGCTACAGTTACTGGTTTTACAACAGAAGATACAACAGATGCTACAGTAACTGGTTTTACAACAGATGATACAACCGATGCCACAGTAACTGGTTTCACAACAGATGATACAACCGATGCTACAGTAACTGGTTTTACAACAGAGGATACAACCGATGATTCAGTAACTTTACAACATATGATACAACCAATGCTACAGTAACTGGTTTTACAACAGAGGATACAACTGATGCCACGATGAGTAACTTTACAACAGAGGATACAACCGATGCTGCAGTAACTGGTTTTACAACAGATGATACAACCGATGCTACAGTTACTGGTTTTACAACATATGATACAACTGATGCCACAGTAACTGGTTTTACAACAGATGATACAACCGATGCCACAGTAACTGGTTTTACAACAGAGGATACAACCGATGCCACAGTAACTGGTTTTACAACAGATGATACAACCGATGCCACAGTAACTGGTTTTACAACAGAGGATACCCGATGCTACAGTTACTGTTTTACAACAGATACACAGATGCTACACTGGTTTTACAACATATGAACAACTACAGTAACTGGTTTACAACAGATGATACAACCGATGCCACAGTAACTGGTTTTACAACAGAGGATACAACCGATGCCACAGTAACTGGTTTTACAACAGATGATACAACCGATGCCACAGTAACTGGTTTTACAACAGAGGATACAGCCGATGCTACAGTAACTGGTTTTACAACAGAGGATACATGCTACAGTTACTGTTTTACATACGATGCCACAGTAACTGGTTTTACAACAGATGATACAAACCGACACAGTAACTGGTTTTACAACAGAGGATACAACCGATGCCACAGTAACTGGTTTTACAACAGATGATACAACCGATGCCACAGTAACTGGTTTTACAACAGAGATATGCTACAGTTACTGGTTTTACAACAGATGATACAACCGATGCTACAGTAACTGGTTTTACAACAGAGGATACAACCGATGCCACAGTAACCGTTTTTACAACAGAGGATACAACCGATGCCACAGTAACTGGTTTTACAACAGAGGATACAACCGATGCCACAGGTTTTTAAACAGAGGATACAACCGATGCCACAGTAACTGGTTTTACAACAGGGATACAACCGATGCCACACTGGTTTTACAACAGATACAACCGATGCCACAGTAACTGGTTTTATAACAGAGGATACAACTGATGCCACAGTAACTGGTTTTACAACAGAGGATACAACTGATGCCACAGTAACTGGTTTTACAACAGATGATACAACCGATGCTACAGTAACTGGTCTTACAACAGAGGATACAACAGATGCTACAGTTACTGGTTTTACAACAGATGATACAACCGATGCCACAGTAACTGGTTTTACAACAGATGATACAACCGATGCCACAGTAACTGGTTTTACAACAGATACAACCGATGCCACAGTAACTGGTTTTACAACAGATACAACGATGGTTTTACAACAGAGGATACAACCAGTAACTGGTTTTACAACAGAGGATACAACTGATGCCACAGTAACTGGTTTTACAACAGAGGATATAACTGATGCTACAGTAACTGGTTTTACAACAGAGGATACAACCGATGCCACAGTAACTGGTTTTACAACAGAGGATACAACCGATGCCACAGTAACTCGTTTTACAACAGAGGATGCAACTGATGCCACAGTAACTGGTTTTACAACAACGATGCCACAGTAACTGGTTTTACAACAGATACAACACAGTAACTGGTTTTACAACAGAGGATACAACTGATGCCACAGTAACTGGTTTTACAACAGAGGATAAACCGATGACTGTTTTGATACAACCGATGCCACAGTAATTGGTTTTACAACAGAGGATGTAACTGATACCACAGTAACTGGTTTTACAACAGATGATACAACCGATGCACAGTTACTGGTTTCACAACAGAGGATACAACCAATGCTACAGTTACTGGTTTCACAACAGATGATACAACCGTTGCAACAGTTACTGGTTCTACAACAGAGAATATAACTGTTGCCACAATGACTGGCTTTACATCTGATTCTACAATAACGGATTCCATAACTGAAACTACGACAACTGACATTACAACAGTTGATGGTACAACAGCTGACGCAACAACCATTGATGTTACAACTGATGCCATCACCGCTGATACGACAACGGATGTTGTAACAGCTGATGCCACCACCATCGAAACCACAACTGCTGATGCTACTACAATTGATGCTACAACCGCTGATACTACAATAGATGATGTCACAACTGTTGAAGCTACAACTGCTGATGCTACTACAGTTGACGCTACAACAGGTGATACTACAGCAACTGTTTCTACAACATCTTCATAAAGAATGGCTGTCTTAATGTTTCTTTCGGTGTCTGAATCAGTTCTCTTTATAAACTGGAGTAGTATTCTAATAAGTAAACAACTCGCACGTACGTGTGAATATAGATTACATTATTATGCATATATGTTCACTGAAATATAGAAATATAACCATACACGATAACCTAGTTCTGTTTCAATATCTGTATATGATACGATGTCAGTATGATATCTGCTTAACATTTTTTCGTGCAGAAAATATAAATTTAAGTTGAAAACGAGTTTTACTTATGCAGTACACTAGGTGGTTACTTATCAACCAACACGTACTTTTCCCTTTAGTTGTTCACCGATTAATAACTAATGAGTACACAAGGCATTGTATCTGGCGAAAAAATAGGAATGACTGCAACTATTTCATCTTTAAAAAATGCCAACAATGATCAAACTCTAAATCTTTTTGTCTATATAATTCGCATTAAAGGACTAAAACGGAGTCTAACCATCAAGCGTTATTACATCTACTTTTTCATGGATGATATTTCCTAATTGGGAATTTTAGAATCTGCTTAGGATTTTTTTTTCTTATAACAGCAGTTGGTGTCAGCTACTGCTATTATTAACACTTCCTTTAGGTCTAAACCTTAATACCCATTACTGGATACTGTGGCCCAACAAGTTCTCTGCTAGAATTGTACTTTTCTGCAGCCAGGCCTCAAAAGAGGTGAACAATGTAATCCTTCGTACTGCTGTAATGTCTTTTCATTCTGTATCCAATAATTCCAAGATCTTTTTATGAGGCAAACATTGTGCAATAAGTCTTCTTCATTTTCATTTATCACTATCGATAAACGA